TATATACACACTAGCAGCCAAGGGAGCTTCGTGCATTATAAGCATGCCTAAAAATAATTTCCCATGCCCGAAGCGTAAGAAGATGGCCCAAAAACAAACGACGGCCCCGCGCCGAATAGGGCCCGGCAATGCGCAGTAAATGTTTTCGAAAAGATTTCACAACCAAAGCGCCCAAGTGTTAATTTATCCATTTAGATAGAGTCAGCTTGATCTTATGAACTCTGAATATCTCTGAGATTCTTGTTAATTTCGCTGTCTAGGTGCATTCGCACTGCCACTGGCAGAGTCTAATGATCTCGTGGGCTATTCAAGCTGTGGTTGTCTAGCAGCCGAGTTGCGTTTGTCACGCTTCGCTCCGAGATTGCAACATTTTGCGTAATTGCTGCCACACGCACTACAGCCACAACTATATCTCTCCCTCTCTCTTGTTCCCTCTCTATGTACATATATATGCGTGTAAGTAGCACCTCAGATAACTGGGCATATATAGTTAGTTGGCTCGGTTGCCTTGACATTGAGTGTGCGGCGAAATGTTAATGATGTGGCCTTAACTGCACTTGTTGAGCATAACTTTGTGGCGCCACATGACGTGCCGCAAGCGTCAGCCTCGGCGAGGGGCGAGGCGCAGGCTACCCACCCATTGGCAGCGCTGGCAATGTAAGCTCCAGCAAATCTCTATTGATTATTGCGTTTATGTGTTTGGACTTGGTGGCATAAAGGCCAAGTGAGTGCCAGCAGGCTGCACTGGCGCACAGAGCGCACAGAGTTCTGTGCCACATACGTGTCGCAGCTGTCTTTGATGGCAGGTAAATCAATATTTTCCAATATAAACGCATGAACAGCCATATATATTTATATATGTATGTATGTATGCATATACATACATACATATATATTTTTGTTGTTTTCGCTTTCAGCTTTTGTATTTCCACTTGCGCTGCTCAGCAAGCAAATCCTTTGGCAAACAAAGCAGCCAGGACTTTGCTGTCAGCATGCGTGCCAAATGCGCTTGAATCGAATGCTGGGGCACAAAACGAAAAAACGTAAATGGTTCGTCCTTTGTTTCGCTTACACTCTCAACATGTGTCGTATTTACATTTATTTGGTTTATTTGGGCATCTAGAAAGCATTACGCTTTGTTGTATAACTAATGTCCTGCCAGGATCTGGCAGCAATGAGCAATGCATGTTACGTGTAGCTAAAGCGACCGAACTTAAAGTAAGATGAATGTGTGTGTGTGTGTGCTGTAAGCATTTTAAATTGCCTTGGCCAGGGTCAACAAAAGGATTGCCCGGAAACCGGAAGAGGAACTGGAACTGGCCAAGGAAGCGCCCCATTGCATACCGGCATAGCTCATGGCAGGCCACTTAATCCGCTCATTAGGCAACAGCTGCAGCCTAGAGCTGATATTTATATAAATAATATTCGAGATGTTGAATGCGGCATTCGGAGCAGCGCCATCAATTATGGGTTTTACAGCCATTGTCAGGGCCAGCTGCGAGGGGCGGAAGCAGCGCAGTCGTTCAGTTGCCTTCAGCTGCCTGGTCCTGCGTTAAGTGTCACTTGGCGTTGCATTGCTGGAGTGCATTTTATGGCAGCGGCTTGTTAAGCTGCTGCCATTTATTATATACAATATAGGCAGCTGTCATTTGGCATGCCTCGCTGCACCTAGCTTCAGGTTGCAAGCTCTTGTCTAGCCCTCATAAGTATGCTACACTTGCTCAGTGGCGCCTTTGTGCTACGCTCGATGGCTGTCGTTGTCGCTGCTGCTGCTGCTGCTGCTGCTGCCACTGCCGCTGACTGGCGCTTTATTTATTTACACACACACACACACACGCATATACTAGGCTGCTGCGCCTTAAGTAAACATTATTAAAATTGCCAGCGTCGTTGCCAGGCAATCCTAAAATAACCAAAGAATACACACAGCCATGAGGCGATAGATTTTGCGAGAGAGAGGGAGACAGAGAGATAGCAGTGGCATGAGTGTGGGAGGCGCTCTTCTGACCCTAGCCCACTCGCTCAGCCAGTGCCTTTGTAGTGGCAATGGAAATTGTCATTTTCATATATGAGAAAAGTCTCGTTTTTCCAAGCTCTTGAAAGGCCACATTGAAAAATACGAGGCGTCATGGCAGCCAAGGTTATTATTATTATTGCTAAGCCAAAGTGGACTCCACTCACACAAGACTAAACAGACCCACACACACACATACACGCACACACACACATACTCACTACTTGTTGCTTGAGCTTGGGCCTTTATGGCGTCATATCCTTCTTGTGGCGCTGATTATCCTTTTTTCACTGGGTTTATTAGAAAGCTGTCAACAACTCTCAGCGTGCCTCGTCGCACACTTGACATTTATTTATGCAAAAATGTGAAATCATTTGTGAAACTTGCCTTCAACGCACAGCAGCAGCAGCAGCGGCAGCAGCACCCGCCTTCGCACCCGCCGGCCAAAGGGACCAGCCCAAAAGACAAAAAAAAAGGATTCACGCCTGGCCGCCTGCGAGATGCGTACCACAAAAAACTACGCACTACTCAGAGTGCGCAAAAAAAGGGTTCGTGAATCAAGTTTTTGCAGGCAATCAAATCGTAGGGGCGTAAAAAATGGACTGGCCTTTGTGCAACACTTCGTGCCACACTCTGCGGCATATCGCCAGCTGCAGCTGTAGCTGCAACCGTCCAAGCGTCCTATGTGCGGTACTCATCATTAGATTAAAAACTTTTGTGTCGGAGAGCGTGAAGAATTTTCAAGCTTTTCATAACTTTGTCACAAAGAAATTTCCAACTTTTTTATTGGGCACACATCAATTTGGCAACAGGAAGCATAAAATTGCGCACATTAAAATATTCTCTGTCATATTCATGAGAGAGAAGGCAGAAAACTGGCTCACTCGTGCTTAGCGAGTCATGGCCTCGCTGCTCACAAACCTATTTCGTGGAGATTCCTTTGTTATTTCTATATTTATGATGAATTTCGGAGCGCACGTGTCTCCGGAGCTGCTTCCGCTGCCAGGAAACAGAGGCGTTCCGAGAGCTGGCTGCTCATTAGACTGGTTGCAAAACAAATATACGTATTGTTCGGGTGATTCAAAAGGTTGTGCTTTGCTTATTACTCTATTAATGAAAAGTAATCGCCTAGTCCCTGCAGTGCTCTAATATAGTCGTAGTCAAGTGCTTAAGGCCTCAGATATCGCAACGGAGGCTCAGCCCGCCTGGCTGTGACGCATATCGGGCGCAAATATCTTTCATACACTTCGCTGAGCTTAGACAAACAACTAAGTGACAACAACAGCAACAGCAACAACAACAACAATAGCATATCTATAGATACATGAATAGCTATAGCCATATAGCCATATAGCTTTATTGTTGATTGAACAAAAACATGCTCGTGTTGACGGCAAAGTGGATACGTGGCTCGCAACCGAGCCAACTTTAGCTCGTGGGCACGTACAGGAAGTCTCTGTGGGCTGTCCTGTCTGGCCAGGCCGCCTGTCTGGCAGTACTTCATAATTTTGGTGCCCAGATATGCATACATTAAGACAGACATGTTGGCCAAAGTTCTCACTCATGTGCTTCAACGAATTTGATGCTGTCGAAAATGGACTCGGACTGCGATTTGGTCTTCGACTTGAACTTGGACATGGACTTGGAGTTGGGCTTGGACTTGAGTCATCAGCATGATGAAACTTCAGAGTTTCGCACAAAAACTTGCCATTGGCTTTGTGTAATTTATGCCCTTGTTTTTGTGTGTGCAATTTGGCAAGGACGTAACGCTCAAGTTGCTGCTGCTGTTGTTTATAATATTATTGTTGTTGACGCTGCTGCTACGGCTGCTATTGACATTGACAACTTCCGCTAACGTCAAGTTGGCTTACGCTGCGGCTGGGGACGCTCTGCGCAGCTGTTAGGCATTTTCTAATTTACTAATTTAAATCAACTTTTGCAGCGCAGCCCAAAAACTTTTGCCGCACAACTTGGCAAACGGCAGTTGGCACAATTATGAGCATGTCCTGGACTCAAAATTATGCCAACACTATCATTAGTTGCTGTTGCTGTTGCTGAATACAAACTCGGCGTCCTCGCTTGGTAATTGAAGTGCATACTCGAAGCCCGTTGTCCGTTGTCCGTGGTGGGGTGAGGAGAGGCGCTTCATTGTCATCGCTTATGCCCAATGGGGCTCGACCGCAGCCCCAATAGCCCCAGAGCCGCCCTCTGAGCAGCCCAGTTGTCCAACTTTGATAATTATGAGAGTAACGACAACAGCCGCAAATGCCAAGGCAGCGCTAAAACTTTTCCCAGTCAGCCAAGAAATTCACGAAGGAAATATATATTTTCCTTGTTGAATATGACTTAGTGCGAACTTTTCGGGAGGGGAGTTAGTAGACACTTAGACTGATATGCTGTTAAGTCGGCCCGAGCCGAAAGCATATTCAAATTTCTTTTCACAATTCCTGAGTGCCTAGATACAATTAAAGACGTGTCAAGCGCATTGAATATTTATAAAGCAAATGATATTTTGGCCTGCGCAATGCGAACATATTTATTAAGCTGTGCAGTTAATTTTTTTTTTTTTTTCATTTATATGAATGAATGTCAAAAATGTTTATCAAACGCTCAACTTTCGAGCGAAAGTATTTCTGCAAATATTTCAATTTGCACAAAACTATTTCATTCAATAAACATTTAATGCATTCGGCTCAATTAAAGTAAAATTCCAGTTTGATGAATTCTTACATCTCACTCTCTCTCTCTCTCTCTCTCTCTCTCTCTCTCTCTCTCCTTCTCTCTCTTGGTTTGCGGTTTACGATGAAATGTTGTGAAGTGCTTCAGAATTTTTCAGTACAGTTGTAGATGTTCGGGCAGTGAATAATTCGGTTTTAAGTGATTTATGCTCTATCTCACCTTTATTATTTGATTTATGTGGCACACTTTGAGCTCGACAGCTGTCGAATGCCGTGCTCAGCCCATGCTCAATCAGCTCTATTCACATCTTTCTTCCGCAGCGCCTCGACCTGTGGCCCCAAATACAAATATAATTCCCGTAAACGAATCAGGCCAACAAATAAACGAAACAAATCGAGCAGCTTGATAATGGCCGCAGCTCCCACAAAAAGGAAATGAAATCAAATCGCACAGGTAATTTGTGACGGCGCAGTCTTTTTATACACCCATATAGAATATGACGTAAATCCCAGCCTCCACAAGTGATTATATACTAAACCTACTTATGTAATACCTGTCTATATATGTGTGCGTGTGTGTGTGTTTTTTTGCTGTGTATGCTTGCATTATAAATGTTGGGATTAGTTTGGGTTGAGCTTGCGAAGCCTTGAAGAATATGCCCAGCGTGCCACGGTGCTGTTAGTAAGCCACAAGAGCCCAGCTCCAAAGACAGTGGGTAAGTTGCTTGGCGAGGCAAATGCGGTTGAGTAATGGCATCATCTATGCGGTTGCTGCCAAAGCAAACCGCAACAATTATTGCTTCTCCAATGCCAGTGCCAGTGCCGGTGCCTGTGGATCCATTCAAATGGCCGGATTCAATAACCGAATGACTACGACTCCGCTCTGCTTGTGGGTAGATGTTATCGAAGGTATTTCTCTCTGTCTATAGATGTTTACGTCTGTGTGTGTGTGTGTGAGCTTGATTAATAACCATGTTAAATGCATTAACAAGAAAAATGATTTGCCAAAGTCACTTCTAGGCGTCACATGCGGCATATGCGCAACATGTGTGGGGCTGCGTAGCTGCCCATATTGCGTATACGCCCCGTTCTGGGGCAACAACATCAAAAGCAATCCATTTTGTGCACGCTCTCTTCGCAGCTCTCTGCGCCATGTGTCTGTTAATAAAATTATGTATTATGATGATTGATGTTGATTTTAATGGCGTCGCAACATCAACACAATTAGCATAGCCCCGGCAAATATGAAATATCCTTCCGTTCGTTGCCTCACATCAAAACGAATGAATAAATGCAAAAGCAATGGCAACTCTGGCCGTAATTACATTACCTACACATTCAGTGCAATGCGTAATTAATATTAAACTATTCGCTATTTATCTAATCCGGCAATCGGCTAGCTGAAACGCATGCACAGCGCACCGGAATCAAATTAAATCACATAATTGCCGAGTTCTGTTTACATGTTTAATGCGAACTGCTATGGATTACACATTTTTTAATGATTTAATCAGACATAAGCCAACAGCTGGCAATGAGAATAAAACGTGTCTGTGTGTGTGTGTGTGTTAAATGTTAAGGGCAACGACTAGAGGGTTAATGCGTGCGCAAATAGCACAAGTCAAAATCTGTGACCAACACAATAAAACCTATGAGTATTTAGTTGACTGACTGACTGACTGACTCAGTTACTGACTGACTGACTGAGTGACTGACTGTTGACTTATGTGTCTGTCAAACTGTCAGCTGGCAGCTGCAGCTGCATTTGGCATTTGACCTTCAAACACACACACACAGTCGTCGCTTACCCATTGCAAATAAATAGTGCAAACAATGCAAGCCCTTGTTAAATATTGCATGAGTAACAATAAAAAAGATGTGACAAAGCCTTCATAATAAGTGCTGGACTAGGCCATGCCCTGGAAGCATGCTTTCATCATATATTCATGCCTGTTGCATATCCAAGGGCTAGTCGGTATGAGCCCATCCGTGCTGGTTACAGGGTATGCACTGAAAGAAATGTAACACAAATAAAATGCAATTTATACGCTCGAACATTTGCTGTGGCAAAAAAAAAAAAACTTGCACCAAGAGACAACGAGCAGAGTGAGAGAGAACGAGTGGGAGAGAGAGAGAGAGAGAGAGAGGCACAGTCAGACGGCATGCCAGACATTACATATGTGGCGTTGCAAAGTGTACGATAAGTAAGCAGAGTAAAACAGTTTAAACAACAACAATGAAATTGTAATAACAATAATGACAACAACGACAGAGGCCAAAGGCGGAAGACAGTCAAGGATGCGACTTTGGCCGTCACCAGGGAGACAAAAAGTCACACCATGAGAATTGAAGGCAAGTGAAAGTATGTGCCAGCATGTGTATGCTAGTGTGTGTGTGCATTTGAAAATAGACAGATGTCTAGATAGAGGGATACCACAGACATGTGAGTTGCTTTGCAACTTGGTATCGTTCACACCAGTTGAGCAAGACACGCGATGCTTCTTGACGAGTTCAGCTATACGAAATTATATAACCTAAACTATCTATTATGTAGTAAAGACATTGAGTGCCATTTGAATAACGTAAATAATGATATAGTTATAATCATGTGTATAAAACTGACATCAATATTGTCGGGCAATCCCTTCATCAAGTCCATGCTCAGGCAGCCCAACTGCAGCGTCCTTAATTTGCATATAGAGCAGCCCAGCTGCATATTAATGCGAAATTTATTTAGTTGTCTCTCATCTTTTTAATTGACTTTGGGTTTGGCCGTAAGCGAGCGAGCTGGCTGTGCAGAAGGTCGTCCTTTGACATTGGATTCGCATTAGTTGCGCTGCAAAAGTTCAGGCGGCCATTGAGCTAGCCAAATGCCAGGCTGGCTGACAACTTTGTTAGCTTGTTACGTTGGAAGACAGTTTGACATTGAGACTGACATTGACATTGACACTGACATTGCCACTCACCGCCCGCCGGCTGCCGTTTCGCATATGAGAAACCACAATAAATATACAAATACGTGAATTTTTCATGCGCAATTCTACGAACTCGTAATTCCACCGTCCCCATTCACAATTTACCCATGTTATTTTATTTTAAGCATTTATGCCAGCAAATTAATGCATTTTATTGCTGATAAGTGCCCAAGTCTTGCTTTATACACGATTTCTTCTTCTTTGTTCTATGTTTTTCCGCCATTCTTTGTTAAAGCATTATCATTATTTTTATTGCCGACGCGGCAAAGTTTGCATCTCCTTGCGGCTAATTAATTGCGGTCACTTTGTTCTCGCTGCTGAAATTCCAGCGTTTGAGCCAGCACTTGGCCGCCATTAAACCCTTTTTCGCTGTACTTAGGGATTTGCGCGCTTTTGTCGTGGCTCTTTAGCAGTTTGATTTAATTTACTAGGTCAGACGTGATTTGTTTATGCGGCTTCAGTTACATTTAATTAAATCAAATAAATCAAAATTTATGCACTTGGCCGCGCCTCTCGAACAGCGAGCGAACGTCTGGCCAGCCGGCAGCGCCTGCCTCAGTGCGTGGAATTTCACGCACTTCCAATTGGAGCTCACAGCGTAACATCACAAATGTCTGACTGCCACGCATACATTGCTGCCTTGCCACACGTCAGGGAACGGCCGGGGGTCGGGGCTGGGCTGGATGGGCTGGCCTTGAGGACAACAGCTGAGTTCCGTTGGTTTTGGTTTCATTGCGTGCCGTCATGCAGGCAAATGGCCAACCGCATTGCACATTCTGGCCCCAGCCTAAATGAGCTACACGCCTTTTTATATTGCCCATATTCAGTTGATTTCGTTTAATGGTGTCGCGACGCGTGACTTCAAATGTTTTATGTGGCACGCTGCGTATGCGTAATTGGTCTTGGTGCTTTTCGGTGTACCTAGCCGTAAACGCTGCGTATACGTAATGTGCGCTAACCGAACTGACGCGTAATGCTGCAGCTGCGCAGGACGTGTTAACCGCTCGCATTTACAGCTAGCTGCTGCACATCAAATTATAAGTACACAATAAAGCACTAAGGACCCGACGTAATCTGCTTGATCTAATAAGCACTGAGAGCCCAACTGTAGGTGATTCCCTTGAGCATTCGACAGCCAATGCCATTTCGGAGTAAATAATTCAAGTCGCAATATGGCAGCTGCCACACAGCAGAGCTCCAGCAAATTTAGTGTAAAATTGGAAATATATAGACCGCAAGGAACAATAGGAAATCATTAGCAGAACGACAGACAATTCCGGCCAAAAATGTGGGCCAATAAATTGCGAGCAATGGCAACAGCAACAGCAGCAGCAACACTAGCAACAGCTGAGATTGGCATGACAAGAGCAGAACAAAGGCACGCAGCATGCCACACAATTACATTCTGAGAGTGAAATCACTTTGATTTGATTTCAATTAAGATGAAAGCAACAACAAGTGACAACTGTTGGGCCCGACCGCAGCAAACAGTTGAGCTTGTGGCCCAGACTCCTCATGATTCTCAGTGGAGCACGTTGAGCGAATGGTTTTCGAGCAGCACGAGCCGTGCTGATTAAATGGCAAATTGCGGATATCGGCACATGAGCCACGCCTACGCAGTTACAGGCACTCGCATCAGCGGCATTTGAATAATTGAGTTTCAGTTTGAGCTTGAGTTGGAGTTTAGGCAAATGTCAAAGTAACAGCCCAGTCCGCCGAGAAGAGTCGTCTCAAACGTTTGCTTGCTACAGTCTTGGCTAAAAATGCCGTTGTCAACACAACAGCCACGCCCCGGGCCGCATCATACCCTTTTGAGGGGCGTAGTTCCATTTCATTTGGATGGCAGCTACGTGCCTCGCATGGCCAATGCCAGCAGCCAGCTGCTGCGACTCAAACATCAATCTGGAGGCCCAGCCACTCGGCTGCTATCATGCTGCTATCGCATTGTTGTTTACTTTGTGCAATTAAATGTTTAATTTCAGTTGCTTAAAGTCGTGCGTTGATTTCAGCACAGTTGATAGCCCTCTGCCCGCTGTCCGCTGTACGCTGCCTTCTGCCTGCCGAGTGCTCTGCCAGTTGCTGCCTGCATTACGCAGCCGACATGTAAGCCACCCGCTGTCAATTAGACGAACGGCGCTGACAATGAATCGAGCTCACGCTTCACTAGCTAAAAGCAAATGCCAAATGCCAAATGCCTCAGCCCACCTTGCTCCACTTTCCACTCATTAAAAATCCTGTTAGACATTAATGGCTATGTCGCATGTGTGTTTTGGTTTGGAGCGAATGCTTGGTAAAAGCTTCAACAATGCTTCTGGCCTGCGCATATGTGCGGTTGTGCTTAATGCTGTGAACTGCAAATAGATGGTTATTATCTATTCCTCTTCACCTGTTGGGCAATTTGCTTTAAGCATTGCTTGCGCAACTGATTATAGGACTGGTATTCATTAACGCTGATTACAATTACACTAGTTGCGATGGC